GGGCGGAGGTTGGTGTAATGGCACCGTCCTGGCTGGCTGGGGGTTGCCGTGCTCGTAGTATTCACTCCAAGGAGGGGTCTAGTTACTGCACGTCGAGGTGTGGCCAGAGGTGTGAGGATAATAGAGCCACTTCCTTTAGTAGTGCCCTGCAGGGGCCACGGAGCGGCTGAGTTTGTACATCTTTGAAGACCATGCGCAAGAGTTTAGTAGTGTTGCTGATGCCTCGATGTCATGAGAATGAACTGGGAGGAAAAACTGTCCAGAAAGCAATTTTCTTGGCTCTGAGGCAGTCTGGGAAGGTGTGTTGAGGGGCACCTGGCAAAACCAGGCCTCCCGTCTGGTACACTTCTGCCTTTTTGGGTGGAATAAGGAGGTCCTGGGGTGAGATGGTGATACAGGGGAGCTATAAAAAGAGAGTTATAGCTCTGAGATGTGGAGGAAAGTGCAAAATGCTGGCACATGTGGGACTTGCATGAGACCAAAGCAGTGAGTTAGGCAGGTCATCTTAGCAGCACTTCGAGTGGATATGATGAAGCAGGCCAGCTGTTAGAAAAGCCAGAAAGAAAAGTGAAGTAACTGAGAGCATGAAAGGTTTGGGTGACAATCCAGGCTTATGACTAAAAAGAGGGGTTTTAAAAAAGAAGGGCTAGTGTTTGAATGATGTATTACAGAAGGTTTACATTGTAGACCAAGTACAGGTTAAATGACTGTGAAGGATTTGAAATTTGAGAGAGGAAGAGGGGGCTGGGGCAGTGTGAGAAAGAAAATAATTTTTCTCTATAAGGGTGTCTGAATGGAATCACACCAAAAGCCTGTGTGTGGAGTCACAGAGCATGACCAAAAGCAGATATTTAGGGAAAGCTTGTGAGGGTTTAATGTTGATAATGCCACAGAGGTTTTATCCTTTTTTTTTATTTCAGCCTTACATTTTCTGGCTGCCTTGTTTCAAATTGCAGCAAGGAGCTACGTGGATGATTAATGGAGGAATGCTGTATTAAGTTATTAGCTGTTGTGAGAACCTTCTGTTTTAATCCAGATCATTTAAACTCCCTCAAAGTCTTTTATCTAATTTGATTCAATGCATTGAGTAGATTTTGAGGCATACTTCTGGTTTTTAAGCTAACAAACTATTTTTCTGTCCTGCTCAGATTGTCAAAGCCTAGTGTTGGGCTGTCCAGCCAGCAAGGCCAGGTACCACACATTGTGTGACTCAGTCTCTTATTTTTTGTCATGGTTTGCTGGCTTGTTTCCCAAATTGTCTTGACATTCACAGCAGATTGGCAGTATTGTCACAAACACTTTACTTTTACATCTGTGATGCAAATTCCACCAAAAATGCTTTGAACAAAATGTCCTGGTTTTGAAAGGAACAGGGAAGCAGAACACCGTCCTTTATCATACCCAAAATAAACAGAAGTACTCCCTTCTTAGCTGGAAGAACAGGCATGTCAGGTTCATAGCTGGTTTCGTTCTTCCTCCCCTTTTTTCCAAGAATAGTTTAAGAGAATAATCTTGCTAGTCATAAGGGCAATTATACATATTGGCACTAAGCAGCTATGGATAACTGAGCCTTAGAGACAATTTATATTCTGTTTTAAGAAACATCAGTCTATATACGGCATTATAGATAGATAGATAGATATGAAGCTTGCCTGACATTCCTCTTGAGAAATGTCATTATTATTAATCATACAAGGAAGAAAAGTATGTATTTGGAATGTAATATGAGAATGTATTATTACAAGAATGCAAGCATTTAAGGTTTTGGTTTGTTGGGAAGGAAAGCTTGTATTTTGATTTTGAAGGGTATTTAGGATAATCGGTGCTACCGCAACTTAAGTGCTTAATAATGGATCTTAGTGCTGTATTTCTGAGATTTCCTTTTTTATAGTGAGAAGAGTCAGTAGTGTATGTGAAATAATTTGACTGCCTCTAGACTTCCCCCCACCTTGTTCTATGAAAGAGTTAGGCTGGCAATTCTAAGATTAAAGAGGCAAAATGATTTATGAGTGACTATTTATACTGCATTTTTCCTGGTTTGCTGGGCAGCTAGTGTTACTTTATTAAGTGTCCTGCAGAGGAGCTGCTAACAGTATATGAGCTGACATTTTTGGAACAGATCCAGTCATCCCTAAGCGTGCACAGTTGTCACAGAAGTAAATTATTCACAGTGGAACGATAAGTGGGAGTTCTGGGTATGTATATAATGTGTGAACATAAGGGAATGGTTCCTACAAGAAGGGAATTTCGGTTCTTCAGTGACTTCTCATCACTTATGTTGTTTAATTCTAAACAATTTATTCCTTTGTTTTGTCTTTGAAATTTTATTTGCTGCTCCAGCAATTTAAAGTGGATGAATTTTAGAGTGCTTTTCAAGGTGTCTCATGGATCTTAAATGTTAGTAGGTTTGTTGACTGTGGAACCAATTGTTGACACTGGTTTCTTTGATCTGCTTGAGGAACATCGTTTTGTTGCAGTGTGATAATAAAATCCAGGGATTTTCATTCAGATGTCCCCAAATCTGTAGGAATTTAACTGGCATATAATGATTTTCAGATTATAGAGTATGTTTCATTCAAAAAGGTTGCTTTTTTGTATAATTGTTAGTACTCTGTAGTTAGATTTCTGTAATATCCACAGACTTAAGGAATAAGTAATTTGCTGCAGGCAGTTGGGCAGATTAATTGTGGAGTTGAGAACAGGCTCTCTTGTTCAAGACTACTGGGAAACATCCACCCAAAGATAGCATCTTTGTGTCTGCTGGTTTGGGTTTTTTTTGTTATAGATTTCACCTGTGTAAAAAATAACAATCTTTGAAACATAACAGTATCAGCTGCTGTGATATCAGTGATATGTATTTTCATAACAGAACATCTTATAAATGTTACCAGTGTCACTATTTTGTTTCAGTCGGTAGTTTTCTCATTGGCTTTAGCAAAAGAAAAGTCTTGGTTTAATAGATGTCTGTAGCGTTTTATCTATTTTTCAGCAGCATGGTTTACAGCTTGGAAACTGTTTTTGTAAGAAATAAACAGTTTTAAATATGGCCAGGCTCAGATTTAGCGTGGAGTGTATCACTCCACCCTGCCCCCAGCCCCATAACTGATTCTAACTTAGTTTAGTAAATTCAATTTACATACCAGAGACCTAGCTTTCAAAAGGAACCATGCTTTGGATTGTCCTTCTACTCAGCTAATGCTGTGGTTCATAAAATAAGCTGTATATAATACTACCAAATAGGTGTATTATGATAATGCTATATACGTTATCAGAGCTTAATAACTGGGGATTAACTCCCCCAACACATCACACACACACGTGCACACAGACCCTCCTCTCATTCTTGAGACATAAAGGTATACCAGCAGCTGGTTGTCATGGAAAGAAAAGTGCAATAACAAAAAAAGTCTGTATTTCTATTGTGTACCTACAACTGCAGAAGGTTAAGGGATATCAATTATTAGTTGAACTCTATGAAACACATTTTTTATTAGAACTGGTTTGTGTGAGGCTGTGTTCCACCTCCTTCCCCAGCTATAATCATTAACCAGTGGCAATTTACTCTTGGAGGTATTTGTAGTGTTTTGGGCTGCTTTGGTACTCAGTGTAGATTTCTCTTCCCAGATAATCTCTTGGGAATTTCCTGGGTTGACAGCTCCTGGATTCCAATATTAAACAATGGGAGCGTGTTGGACTATTTCTCAGAGCGAAGTAACCCATTCTATGACCGAACATGTAACAATGAAGTCGTCAAAATGCAGCGGATGACCTTGGACCATTTGAAGTAAGTTGTAATTTGGAACTGCTTCCTGTGCAGTGTCCTTTGTCCCTCCATCCAGAGGCTTTGGTGGATGAATGGAAGCATGCTGGAAGCCTCCTGTTCTGTGCTTTTTAGTCCCACCACTTGCCAGGGAACTCAGCAGTTTTTGTATTTGGATGTCTTCTATTTCCTCTTATGTCATTTCAAGGAGGTGTTAAGCATGAAGGATTCTATGTATATTCTGAGATTCCAGTAAATCAGTCTTTAGATATTTCTCTGAATTAGAAAAACTGTTTTCTCTCATCCTCCCAGCTCAGCAGAACCTGAATAATGGTAATGCAGTTAAATGTTTTTTCTGTGGTGAATAGGGTTTATGTTAGGGGATACTTTGAGTTCATAAATAGTTTGTGTTTCCGTATCTCACTGGCAATGTGCCATAATTAGTACATAATTCCCCCAAAGAGCTGGCTTTTTAGCATGGATAATAAAAGTAGTGAGTGTTGTAAATAAACTGATCACAGATGGTTGTGTAATGAGATTGCAGCATGCGCAAGTTCACTTTCTTTGCAGTTCCCCATCTGCTACACTGAGCACAAGTGAGATGTTTGAGAACTATTTAAAGACTCCACAGTATGATCGATAGGGAGTGTGCAAGCTGAGCTGAAAGTTCATTGGTAAAGTCACTTGTGCTCAGATGTGGTTGCAGAGAGGCTTTCACATCAGGTACACAGATGGTCACATCATACACTTGTCCTTTGTTTCTGTGTTTAAATGACATCTCTGTGATGATAGATTGTTATCTTTTTTGATATTTATTTGTTTGCTAACATATTCTACTTAGATGTTGTGTCAGGTTGTTGTAACTCCCTTTGTATATGCAGCTGGGTTTTGATAGCTAGCTCAGGAGGTCCTATGCCTTTGTTTATTGCACTTTATATAGAAGAGTTTCTAAAGCATCACAACTTCATCCCTTTACTGCCAGGCCCTTTCACACCCTACAGATTTTACTTTGTGGAAAGTAATTATTCAGGTTGCTTCTTTTTCAGCCAGATGGTTGGAGTAGAGTACATCCTTCTTCATGCTCAAGAGCCCATTCTCTTCATTATCCGAAAGCAGCAAAGGCAATCTCCAACGCAAGGTAAGGTCAATCAGTTCTTGTCACTGCTGAGAAGGCCGATCAGTTAGTTGCTTTTTTCTGTTCCTAATTTGTGTTTAAGCATTCCTGGTTCCCCTCTTCTGTCTTTTATCTTAGATCTAAACAAAAGGGTATGAGGCTTTGTGGTGGGGTGGAGATATTTTGTCTAGCAGTGACCTGTAGTGTGCTAGTGGCAGGGATTGCCATCTTGTGGTGAAATGTGAAGAGTGCAATGAGGAACTGCTCCCATCTGGTATATTTTGCCATGGGAAATTGATAATAGTGTTCGTGCCCTGTTGTATTTATCTGTTAGGCTCTGCAAGAGTTTTCGTTTTATTTGAATGTGAGGCTAATGATATCCTTGCTTGGGGCTGATGAGTTTAGCTTAATTTGAGCTGATCATCTGAAGTGGTTAGTATGTGATTGATTTATTTTGGAGAGATGATTTCTATTAGTTAGGGAGAAGGATCATTCATGCTTCTGTTTGTGTCACATCATGCTCTCATTCTGCACTATTTCCACCTTCAACTGTGAATTGGTTATACTGCTGTGTAGGATCTTGTCAGTAGAAGACAAGGGACCATGTGAAAAATGACCATGAGATACCACAAATGCTTGTTGTTCTGGTTATTCCACTGAGAATGGAGCACTTTGTAATTCTGAGGGAATCTTGTGACAACAGCACTGCTCCTTCTTACAGTGTCACTGATGACCTTCGCAGGTTTTAAATGTAGTACCTTAGCTTTTTCTTCCATTTGTATTCAACTAGCTTCATTATTCCTTTTTAACCTTAAATTTGTTTCTGTGTGCATGATTAATTAAAAAAGTGGTCACATTCCAATAGTTATTGGACTGTCTTCTGTGTTTACTGCATGTATATTTAAAATAATTTAGGTTATTTCAGAACAAGCTTTATGGAAAAGAAAGGCAGGGTTAATGCTGGTTATTTCTTAACCTTTTTTTAGTGACTTAGGCTCTGAAGATACATTTTGGTCTTCTACAGGATTTTGCCTTGTCTATCAAGGCTTCTTATTTATTTCTATCATGTAATGGCCTCTTTATATTGCAGTTCTGTACCGGAAAAGAACATATATGATTCCTTTTTCAGTAGATTTTACGAGTTGTTTCTTTAATAAAGGTTTTGAATTTAGCTTTCAAAAGGTGAGATGGAAGTATCATTCAGCCCTTAATTTCCTCTTTTGCCACTTTTTAGATCAAGAGTAAAGTTGGTGGTTCCACTATATGTGTGTTCAGACTTTTGCAATGCAGATGTGTTTGGTGGAACTTAACTGGGACTTGTTTGATAACATTTTTCCCATTGAGACTGTGCAGTTTATGCTGGGTACCTTGATTGAGTTGCATAGTTCCCTAGATTGAATGTTAGTCATATGTTTCATTTTATCATAGTGATACAGTATACTTCACATTTGCTAGTAGCCATGGTTAATAATTGTGCTAGTAGCTATAGTTACCACATATATGGGGACAATTACAAGGTTTTGAAGCTTTGTTGAGTGAGATTTTGAAGCATGGTCAAGATGACCTTGACTAGCGATCAGAAATTCATAAAGGATTAACTTTCATCTCCAAACTGTAGAAAACAAGCAGAACAAGCTGGACCATAAAGAGAATGTCTGCAGTTGTGTTGAGGATAAGGTATCTGACAACCTGGGAAAGTGACTAGTTAATTAACTTTTCAATGAAACTAACTTTTGAGTGTCCTGAAAGTGAACTACCTTCATTATAATACTGAAAACCACACTCCCAGGTCAAAAAGACCCCTGCCCAGGTTAAGACCCTTCCCCTGGGCATGCATAGTAGTGGAAGCATTATGCAAACTGTATTATAATTGTATGTTAATCACTAACTAATCAGTATCTAATAGGCATGTTTGGAAAAGGACTAACCTCTGATTTTTGTGTGTAAAAGAAGCCCGAAAACCTGCTGTTGGTGTGCTTGTTTTGTGGAAAAGTTCAGTGAGCACCCAGGCCCAAATAAATACAGTATCTCTCCTGAGCATGTCAAGATTGGTTTATTGCATGCTGGGCGTGAATCTGCTTTTGGGATAACAGTAGTACTAATATTGTATTTGAGACATGAGAATGGGGAGGGAAAACTAAAATGAGTTCACAGCTAGTGTTGAGTATTCAGATAGAACTGGTACAGCCCTGTCTTATGACTTTTGTGTGTTTTAATAAAAATATTTTTTAAAAATTCTTTTAAGTGAAGTTTTTGCCTGTTTAAAGTGATTTTTTGGAAAATCTTTAGATCCAATTATTAGGGAGAGTTAGGTGTTGAGGAAAGTAGGCTACTTTGGTACAGAGCTGTGAGGCAGTAAAGCTGCTGCTCTGTGTCTTGCTCTACTTCCACGGAAATGCTCAGAAACCTCTTCCTTTTGAGAAGTGGGTACTGGCTGTAATATGCACCCAGCTGTCTTGGTCTGTTAATTTAGGCAGGTGTCTAAGCTTCATAACATGCAAGTACTGGTTGAATTGGGTCCTGTCAGTAAAAAGGTTCAGACAAGATGTGTTAATACAGATGGAGGAACTGGAATCATTGTGGGTGCAGGTAAGAGCCTTAGGAATGTGAAGCTGATAGCATTGCTATAGTTTCTCCATTGAAGAATGTTTGGCAGAGTGTTACAGAGGCAACTGTGATGTTCCTCTGCACTGCAGCTCTAATAAACAAGAATTTTTGATTGGTCAGTAGAGATTCCAAATCTGATTTAGCAAATGCCTTTGGAAGGTAGTCTTTTTTTGGCAGAATGTTATTGATTTAGAACTGTATGCTCTATGTATGCGTAGCTGCCATTGGGTATGGGAAATCTAGCAAAGAGGGCTGTACAAGTTGGAGAGACCTGAGGCCAGAAGAATGAGATCTTACAGTGTGGGTTTCTACCAGTAGCCTTAAGTGGAGCTACTTCCAGTGCAGTTCACTTGACTCCTCTTGTGTAAGCTCTGAAAACCCCAGTGCTTGTAAGGTCAATTATTTGTTTGCACTAGGACAGGACTTAAAGCTGATGCTTTTCTATCTGTAAAGCAGACCTTCTTTTTCCCCTTATCAGTCTGTGGCTAAGTTGCAGATAAAGCACCTTGAAGGAAGAGGTTGAAAAGAGAAAATTTGGTGATGAGATGAATATTGCAATTTCTGCTGTTACTACTGAAATTCAGCAACAACTACAGAATCTTCAGCCAGAGCTTTAATTTTTTTTTTTTTTTTTTTTTGTCCTCCTCACAGTTATTCCATTGGCCGACTACTATATTATTGCTGGAGTGATTTATCAGGCACCTGACTTGGGGTCTGTCATTAACTCCAGAGTTGTAAGTGTTCTGTGCATTTGATGTATACTGGTTGTATCTGCTTTTATTTTGGTTGTTTCCCAGGCTGTTTAAATACCTCATTCATGGTTCTGAGGAAAAGATATTGTGTAGTATACAGTAACTTAAAGCAAACCCCACTTGTTAATATGGTGTGCATCCCACATGGAAATGAAAGATGCTTGGACAGTACAGTATAGTCCAAAAAGTAGGATACATTGTTTAAGGATGAAGGATCGAAGTAACTGAAGCTCCTCAGCTGTCAGAACAGCATAAGGTTCAAATAATCAAAAGAAAAATTACATGACAAATACATATGAAATAGTAGTTAAATACATATTCTGTGACACGTTCTTTGGAATGTTAATGTTAAGGTAATGTAATATTTCTCTTTAAATGAGGCTTATTTTTTAAAGTTGGTTTGGTATTTCTTTTTAATTGGATGCTCAGGTTTGTTTTGATTTCTTCTGTTATAGTAAACTACTGCTTTTGCAAATTTGTCAGTTTAGAAGAGCATTTCATAAAGGGTTATGTAAGAGCCTGTAAAAGTGATTACATTCTTGGTCCAAAACTAGATGTGCCAAGTTACCTTCCCAGGGCAAATATGAATACAGAATGCTAATTTTAAAATACCTGCTTTCAAAAATTTGTACTGTATTTTCTCCTTAAATTCTGAACACTGGCTTATGTTCTTGTTCTGAAAGCTCACTGCAGTGCATGGAATTCAGTCTGCTTTTGAAGAAGCTATGTCCTACTGTCGCTATCACCCATCCAAAGGCTACTGGTGGCATTTCAAAGATCAAGAAGAACGAGGTATGATTCCTACTTGCTCCTGTGTACTTTGGGAAAAGGGAGGTAATATAAGGAAAAGCTTGAGGCAATGCACAGTGATGGTGTAGAGATGAGGTTAAGTGTCTGTTGGAAGGGTAAGTTAATGCTCCTTTATTAGGTAGAAGGAATCTTACACTTCTGTGCTGGTGGTTGTGAACATTGAGGCATGGGTGGGAGATAAGAATGGTGAGCTGTGTGTCAACAAAGGGCAACTCTTCAACCCGCTGCAGACCAAAGTACATTTTCAGAAGCCAAACCAGTTTGTCAGGAAGTAGGAACTGTCCTTAATCTATCTTCCACAAAAAAACCCCAACCCTGATGTCAGAGGGAAAATATAAATAAAGTTTAGAGGAGAGGTAAATACCACCTTGTCATACAAGAAGACACTGCTAAGAGAACAGGACTTTTAATACAGCTTTCTCTTACATTTCTGTGACTTGCAGAGAAAGCTAAACCAAAAGCCAAGAAGAAAGAAGAACCAAGTTCTATTTTCCAAAGGCAACGGGTAGATGCTTTGCTTTTAGACCTAAGACAGAAGTTTCCACCCAGATTTGTTCAGGTACGATGCTTATAAGCCATAGTATTGCTGTAATTTACTTAGAACTTAAGGCAGTCTGTAAGTACTTGAACAGATGAAACTGAATGGGAATTTTTTGTGCTTTCTGCAATGGTAACATGGATTAGATAATAAATTTGAGATGGAAGGCTCTGCAGTGTAGGATTCCCCTATGTAACTGCAGGAGTCATTAAGACCTTGGCAAAACTAGGAGGGCGAATATACAGAGTCGTTATCTAATCACAGAGGGTCTGTTCTTGTCAGCTATCAGATCTTGCTGCTGCTTCCAGTTTCCTGTTTTGTGAGCTCAGTCAAATCGCCACAGCTATTTTGTTTTAGTTACTCCATTGTTCTGGAGGCTCATTAATTAGCATGGAAATTCTTGGCATTCTGTGAAGTTGTTGTGATTACTTCTGTCTCTAGTAGCCATTTGTTCCACCAGGTCTTCAGTTTGGGAACAAAGGAAATTGTTTACAGCATCTTTAAAACTGTTTACTCCTCAGATGTAGGAAAGACCAGCTAACTGCATGGTTTTTGCTTTAGTGCTTTCCAGTTGTCAGAGGAAAAACTGGATGTTAAAAGATTTGGATTTTGTTTAAAGTGTATTTAGTGATCCCTTCTACCCTCAACTCTTATGTGTAATAGCTCATTGCTTGGTTTATATTCCAGATGAATAGTAGGAAGGGTTAAGAACTGTGCCTTTGCATCCACTGATGTGTTGTTTTGTGTTGTGTTTTGTTTTTTTTTTTTTGTTTTTTGGTTTTTTTGCTTCCTCCCTCACAGCAAAAGCCTGGAGAAAAGCCTATCCCAGGTAAAACTCTAATATTCTCCTAAGACTTAAAAAATAGGCTCTATATAGCAGAATCTTCCAGTTGCCATATAAGGTCCTTGCTGCTGCTACTGAGGTGGTTAGGAGTTCTGGCACTGCCTGATTGTGCAAAGTTCTCTGTGGCAGCCAGAGTGAAAGTGAAAAAATGTGTATTCTACCCTGCCCTTTCTGTCCATAGAACTGTATTGCCTGGAGGTCCAAATTCAGGAAATGGGCTTTGAAAGCAGGAGTTGGGTGAATGAGGGAACAGTTCAGTCAGTCCAGCATCTTAGATATTTTGTATGGTGTTACAAGCTCAAGAAAGCATTTGAAGGCTTTGACTTGACCAGAAGCAACCTCAAAACAGAAAAAAGCATAAACTCTATCTCTTCAATCTATTCCACTTTTTTTTAACAGTATAGGTATGAATTTAGTCCTTAATTATTCTTATACCTTTGAAATTAATTTTGCCCCTTTGACATCAACAATGTTTTCTAAGTACTCTGAACAGTATTTTAGGAATAAAAATTGGAGGTTTAACTTTCTTTTGCTGTTACTTCTTAAGTGGATCAAATCAAGAAGGAACCAGAACCAGCCCCTGAAGCTGTCAAGACAGAGGAAAAAGAGACTGTCAAGAATGCTCAGCAGAGTGCTGGTGCAAAAGGACCACCTGAAAAACGGATGAGACTCCAGTGAAGGGAAAAGTTGTTATGCATCTGGATTAGTACCTGGGAAACAGGAGATTATTGCTCCTCTTTCTTTGTATTTAAGCTCCTTCGCTGAGAATGAAGATTCAGGGACTGAAGTCCCTGTAACAGCTTTTTCTGTAGAAACCTCTCACGCAATATCAGGATGTGAGCTGCCTCAAAGGTGTTTTCAGTCTTCATCTTATTTTGAACGTTGGCTTCTGAGAATGTCCATGTAAAAAACATACTTTGCAGCCTCCTGAAATCTTTACAGACTCTTGCATCTCTTGTGTCGTGGTCTCCTATGTAAAAAAACCCCAAACTTTTATATAGAAAAAATAAATAATCTGAATTCTTGGCAAATAAAACTGGCTGCTGGAATGCCTTTCTTAAATGCTTACTTTGTTAGTAGCAAGTATGCCATATGTGCTGGCAACATTTTTTTTTTTCTTGGATATTGGAATATATTGTGTGCTATTTTGAGGAAGAAAAGTTCTTCTAAAGGATTTAGGCTGCCTGCTATAAATTGCTGTGCTTTTAGTATGCTTGGGATACAGATAAAAGATTTGATAACTGGAGGCTCAAATCCATGTAATTAGATGTCAAACCACTCTCAGTCTCTAAATGTTCTTGGACACTCATTTTACTTAATGGCTAAGCTGGTCTTTTATTATAAAAGCTAGCGTTCTGTGAGAGATTTATGATGACATAAACCAAGCTAAAATGTCTTGCTGTTGCACACTCAGTGAAGCTGTTTATATTCCTCCTTTTTTCATTGTAACTCAAATATATCAATTGTATCTGTTTTGTACTTCTAGCACTTTCTTGATGCATCTGATCACCTTGTTTAGTTGTCTGCCTTTTAGACTTAAGGAGTTAGGGCAGTGGAGGAGAAGCATCACTGACAGCTATACACTTTGCTGCTTAAGCATATTGCTTACACAAATTTTTCCGAAAAATTAGAAGTCATCCATTGCAAAGAAATGACTACTGGTTTGGTTTTGGTTTTTCATTGAAGTAATGGAGCAATCCTTGAAATAGCTTGCTTTTTCACAGCTGTTACCTGCTTTCTTGTAGTAAACTGTAGTAAGCAAGAAAAAGGTCTGTATGTAGCAAACAAAATGTAGATAGGAAGGAAGACTAAGATATGCTTAGACAGCTGTGTCAGATTTAATTTGAGGTTATAAGAGACTGTTTCAGTAACTAATAAACAGCCCTGACCAGGTATCTATTGCAAATGATACAAAGACCTACATATCTTTTGTCCTGTAATCAAGGCTGTAACATTAAATATGTAGATAAGCCAATAGCTGTTTGCTGTTGAGATACAGACAATATATTGTGTACTTAAGGGTCAAGTATGAACAGCTATTTCTCCAGATGTTGATAGAAGTACATAATTAAGTTCGTGTGAGCTCATAAATCAAGCGAAGATATAGAAAACAGTTATTCTGGGATGCTCATAACAAGAGAGAGCTAATTATTCAGCACTGAGTAGTTACAAGATAGTGTGAATACACTTGGAACAAAAGGGTGTTGATTCTTTCTCCTATTAAAGAAATTCCTCTGAAAGCAGTTATACTCCATGCTCAGAATTTGAGCTGATTCAGAGGCGAGGGTGGATCTTGAAGGAGCAGACTGTCCTCACATCTGCATCTCTTAACAGCCTTTTTGTTTTCTGTGGAATATGTCTGGTATTGGCTGATGTCAGAGGGCATTAAAAAGGATGGACTTCTGGTCTAATCCCATCTGAGTTGAAGTGCCATCATCTAGACTATTGAGAGGATAGGAAATGGCTTCCGTGCATGAAACGATGCATTTGAATGTGATAAGCCTTTTCAGGGGAATGATCTTTTCATGAGAGAACTGCATTATAAAGCAGTAAGGGATGTTACCAGTGAGTGTGTTGATTTCTTAGTAGCTGTCCTTCAGTGCTGAAGGCTTGCTATATGAGGAGATGAAGGACTGAAATACCTTCTGGATCTTGTTACTTGCTAACAAGATATTCTAAAATAATTTTATCAGTTAAATGAGCTTTGATACTTAAGTGACATTATTACCAGGTATTACCATTAAACCCCAAGTAATTTACTGGAAAAAAGCTGTTAAGCAGCTACCTCCTAGTCAGTAATGTTTTTCAGTGTATGAGAATCTAGGCCTTTCCTCTCTGGTATTTATACACTTCTCTTGGTTTGGAGCCTGAGCACTGAAGTCCAAAGTCCTACAGAGGACCTTCACTATTTGTAAAGCTTATAGAACTGCTTGCTTGTTCCCTTTCATCTGAAATTTGCCTTATGCGTCACTTAGTTTTGCATAAAGGAGAGATTTGCTTGTACAGGAGAGCTATCTCTACTTTTTGCTCTTAGCTAATAACCATTCAGACTTCAAAAGAGCTTTTCTTGGCCTAAAGCACGGGTAGCAGAAGCTAAAAATGACCTGTAACTCTTAATAAAAACATTCTTCTGAGAGCCTGAAAGTACCTGTAAATGTGTGTATACACACGAACAGATATGCATACGTGTGTGTGTATATATATATATATATGTTTGTCTATATATGTATCTGTGCAAAATTCCAGCCACACTAGGAAGAGAGGCAGTTAGCTACCTGAATTCACTGTGTAAAGCTAATGGTGTCTCAGATGCAGCAGAAATACTGCCTTTTTCAACTTACCACTAAGTTAAGATCTGACCAGGCTACATGTGTTATTCTCGCCTGTTCCTGTTCTCTGCTCTGCCCCTATACTTCGTATTTTGGTTTTCCTCACAAAGAAGGATGCTGTTTGGAGAGTCCGTATGTGTTGTTTGACAAAACAAGCTACACTTGGAGCAAGGCTAGAAAAGTATAGGCAATAGGAGGGCCAAGGCAAAGAGGAGAGATTAGCTTTATTTTGAGACATGGAGGTTCCCTGTGAGAAAAATGGTGTTACACAAATAGGCTGTGGCTTCACTGAACCAGCAGATGGCTTCTGAACAGAAGCTGATGTGATACACTTTTTCTGGGTTTTTTTGATATTTTTATTTAATGGCAAAGCAAGTGATGATAACTAGGCATTCAGGGTTCAAGTTGTTTTTTTCTTTTTTCTTGGAGAGGAAGGTGAACTTTTGATAAAGTGTTGCTTTGGTCCTGTAATCATGCACAGAACAAACAAATGGTCACTTAAGGGACAAGTGTCCTGTAGCCTAATGTAGATCATGGATGGACAGGTGGGTGGGTGGGGAGAAATTTTCCCAGTGGGATGAGTTATGATGTGCTGTTGATCTCTCAGCAGTCAGAAGGCTTCATTTCTTTCTGCCAGGACAGTAGATTTCAACCTGTGGTCAACAAGGCTGCTGGGTTTTTGTGACCTGTTCCTAAAGACTCTACAGAAGGTGAGAAAAGTAAACCTCTTGCTGGTAGGATTCAATTCCATAGGAGCTTGCACCTTTACTGGAAATTTTAGGGGGCTACAAGATTGAAAAAAACGTGAAGAACACTGATGCATCATGAGAAAGCCAGTTACACCTGCCAAACAAATGTTTTTGCAGTTGAAGTAACTATAGATTACTGTGGTATTTTTTCCCTGCTCTGCTGTAAGGTCAGTCATTTTCTCTTCCAACCTGTTCATTGTCATATAATGGGAATCTTTCCTTCTGTCCCCTTTGATCTTTACCTGATCAGAGTACAGGTAACCTGAACACAACAGTGTCATCCCTTTTTATGTAACCTCAGTGGTGAAGGGCTTGCTAGGAGCTCAACGCAGTGTTGCAAACTTATGTTGATACTTCCCTCTAAGTATACCCTGCCATGAGTTCAACAATGGAACCAGAGTACTTTCTAATCCTAACTATATAATTATGTTTATATTAAAAGAGAAAGTAGTAGGCAACTCCTGGGCTGAGGTATGACACGTCTCTAGCAAGTTGGCAGAGCAATTTAGTAGGGCCTTTCTATAACTTAAGGAGTGATCACACAGCAGAAGTATGCATTTAAAAATAGCTCTACAGACACTGCACACAAAGATTATGTAACAGGATTTTTCTATTATAGTTATTGTGGTCTGTGTTATATTTATTGCAAAAGACATAATCTGACGTAGTTTGCAGCCTTGGAATACAAAACTGATAATTGAAAAATGGGACAATTATTCAACAACTAACTGTACATAAAAGACTTCACAGAAAATAGTTTCTGTAATTTTAAAATTCAAACTAATAAGAAAATAAATCTAAGGCTAACAGGTCACAGTTCACTTTTAGGTAAAGCAGTAATAAATTTCAAACAATATACAATTACGGATATTTAGAAGGATCTTTCTACCTGTATATCTAGACAGATCCTAATAGAAGCAGGCTTCCTGTTTTCATTCCTTTAATTTGAGGTACTGTATTACAAGGTGTATGCTACTTATGCTGACCACACCTGCAGTAAATGAGCAAAGTACCAGTTCACAGAATCTCAAGCCCCTTTGGACAACTGTTGGCAACCTCACAGCTGTTGGTTAGGCCTGCCATGTGCCTGCTCCGGTCCCTGGGATGTGAGGCAGCAGAGGGAGCCTCTGAGCACTCTGCCAGCTGATCCCTCTGTTCAGCCTCCTGAGGGGCAGTGTCTGTCTCGGGCAGTTTGAATTGTTGTGTTGCTGCCCATGCCAGGGTGATGATCAGCAACCAGAAGTTAGTGCTGAAAGGCAGGATCCCTGCGATAGAGATGGCATTGTGGGAGGGTGCACCTCCTGCAGCTGAGAAAGGTAAGGGCTATAGCAGGTTGAACTTAATCTTAGACATGCTTTCAGTGCTGAAAAGAAAGTTGTGAAGAGTTCCCAAAAATAACAGCTGTAGCTGTGTTAAATCCCAGCACCGTGTGCCAGAAAATCCAGTGTGCATAGCTGTGCTGCACAGGACATCCTGTCTTACCATAATCCAAATCAGTGTCTTAGAGTTGTGTATTGATGGAGCTGTTCCCTAAAACAGGGATGGCAGCCAAGGTGTACCGGTAAGCGCTCTCTTCCCAGTGCTCTGCAAGCACACACCTTTAGAAAGGCCATGATGTGGGAAAAGGGCTGTTACCTCAGTGATGTCTGTAGTTAAGGCACATTGTTGTAGGTGTGTAGCAGCTGTGGTGTAAACAGGCTTTATGCTTTTATACTTGGTGTCATTAGATTGCCTTTGTATTATTGAACGTAGTGGAAGTGAATTTCTGGTTCTACCTTTTTTCTTGGGAGGGGTGTGCGTAGCTGTAGTTGCTATAGTAAGGCACATGCTATGAAAGGGCACCAAGGAGTGCTGTCTCCTAGCTGGTTACTAGGATTAGTATTTCTGTACTTTTTCATGACAGACCTGAGTTTTTCCAAATATTCTTTTGACGTAAAATAGTCTGTTCCTGATCTCTACTCACAAATTAGCCTTTAATAAAGAAGTGAACAAAGCAAAAGCCAGCCTCTGAGCTATTAAAACAGATTTCCTTCCTTGTGGCCTAACCAGGTGATCCTTTTGCTCAACGTAAACATCTGTGACAAGGACTGTGAAACTGAGCTGGGGCTCCTCCTTACTATGTCTGCTCAGGAGAAACACCCATTAATTTGAAAATGAAGATTATAAAAACATGGGAAAGTGCTTGTGGTAGGCTAACTTATTTGTTCCTCTCCATAAGAGTCTCTGTACCTGCACAAAGAGCAGGGGCTGGATATCTTGAGGCACTCTCCCAACCCTCTGAGATACACCTGCAGGCTGCAGGATGCCGTTTGCCCAGGGGGAAGGTGAAGGTGGTGGCAATGCAGGTGCTCCTCCTCAGCGGTTGGAGGCCCCGGGCTGGTTCCCCCCAGCAGGGCCCTTCCAGGCTCTGTCCCCTCACACATTGGGGCAGGGCAGTGGTGATGGGGGCACTGCTGGTGCGGCTGGGCCTGGCAGGGTGCCCTGCTATCAAGGGGACCTGTCTGGGGAGCTGCTTGTCATTGCCACGTGGGTGATGGTGCCACAGCAGTTGAGCCCCCGTGCTGACACCAGCCCCCTGGCAGTGTCCTACTGGCTGGAGGTGGTCGGGCAGCCGTGAGTGCTGCACCTGCGGCCCAGGAGGGACCTGGTCTCCTGCCCCTTTGCTCTGGTCACCTACGGCAAGGATGGGGCCTGCTGGGAGCAGCACCCCTTTGTGCAGGACAACTGCCTCTACTAGGGAGGCCCTGGCTCCCTTGTGGCCCTCAGCACCTGTGGCAGCAGCCTCCACGGCTTGCTCTGGGTGGAGGATGGCACCTACGAGATCGAGCCCATCCCTGACAATCTGGCCTTTGGGCACATCCTCTACCACAGGGAGGAGGCCAGCAACTCTGTGGGCCCCCCCTGCGGGTTGACCCCAAAGGAGCTGCAGCACCAAAAGGCTTTGCTGCCATGGCTCAAGGCCCCCTGGGTGGTGGAGGAGATGCTGAAGGATTGGTGGACATGTGTCAGGTATGTGAAGATGGTAGTGGTCGTGGACAATGTGCAGTTTGTGAAGTCAGGCAGGAATGAATCTGTAGTCTTGAGGCAAGTCATAGAAATCCACAGCTTTCTGTTCGGCTGTTTCTTGTGGGACTGGACATCTGGACCAAAAGCAAACTTATAAACATTACTAACTCTGCCAACAAGGCACTTGATGACTTTAACAAATGGCGGAGGACAGACCTGTCTCCACGGATGTGCCATGATACTGCTCATTTATTTGCATTTCAGCGCTTTGGAAGGAGCCTGGGATTGGCGATTCTAGGGTCCATGTGTAATAACCAGTGGTCATCAGCAGTTGTTTCCTTCACTGATAGCAAGCTGTCCTCATTCTTCATGTTTTGTTCATGAGCTGGGCCATACTCTTGGGATGTGCTGTGATGAACAGGGCAGTAAATGTAGACGAAAGAAATGCATCATGTACAAAAGTGTTATTGACACTGATGTGTTCAGTGACTGCAGTTATAAAGACTATTTTGACCTGCTTGGGTGAGGCGTTGGCTGCATTTGTCAACTGTCAGCACCTGGCACTTTCTACACCATGAAGCATGAATACTGTGGGAGTAAGATAGTAGAAAGTGGAGGGCAATTTGACTGTGGTTCAGAGTCGAACTGTAGAAAGGATCCTTGTTGTCACCCGAACTGTACATTCACTGCAGGTTTGGTCTGTGCTTCTGGAAAATGCTGCAAAGGCTGCCAGGTCCTTCCAGCAGGAACACTCCACAGAGCAAGTACTGGTGACTGACTTGCCAGAGTATTGCAACGGGACATCCCTGTGGTGCCCACCAGACGTTTATGTACAAGATGGAACCCCTTGCAAAGATAGTGCTTATTGCTATTGAGGAAAATGTTCTTTCCATGCTAAACAGTGCCAGCATCTCCAGCAAACAAGCCAGAGTTGCTCCTTTAGACTGCTTCAAAGCAGGGTGACCGGTTTGGGAATTGTGGTATTTTTAACAATATCCATTATACAAAATGCAGGATTGAGGATATCTTGTGTGGTAGGATCCAGTGTGAGAACATACACAAATTGCCTGCCTTGCAGAACCACGTAACACTAGTCCAAACCCTTGTTGGGGATAAAAAGTGTTGGGCTCTTGACTATCATGTAGGGATACCAAATAGCTGATGTGGGAGCTGTGGCAGATGGCACGCCATGTAGTAGTGATTTGTATCAACGGGACATGTACCAGCATCTCACTGCCGAACTATGACCATAATGTGACAAAGTGTCATGTCAGAGGAGTGTGTAACAATCATAAGAACTGTCACTGCAGGTATGGCTGGGTTCCTCCATATTGTGAATGGGAAGGATTTGGAGGTAGCATTGACAGTGGACCCCCTCCAGCCACGGAGATTTTTTGGAGAGCAAAAGTAGGAGTAGCACCACTTAGGCTTCTCCTTCTCTGTATCTTTGGAGTAACCCTTATCATATTTTGTAAATGTGAAACAGTGGGATGGCTTAGGAGGAAAAAGGCCCAGTTCCTCAGAAAATGATAGTGGTTGTTTCAAATACTGGAAATGCCAGCAATTCCTAAAGGAGAACACCTGCTAGTGAGTCAAAATCCACCACAAAGCACTTGCTGAAGACCAACAAGCAGTAACTTTGTATGCTCCTGGGGAAATCTCCTTTGAGTAGAGCCAGCCGATAACTCATCAAAATAAATCAACATGTTCTGAATAGTTCTAATCTCATGAGATATCATTAAATGCAGAGTAAATGTTATCCTTGTTTAAGTTAATAAATGCAGGCAATACAGCATGCTGTTCTTTGCACCTTGAGCTCTTAAACCAAAGTAGTTAAGTAAACTGTAGGTATGGCGCTTATGCTTCATAGCAATAGTTTACAAATGTAAACTTCTTAAAACAGGTGCAGATAAATTATTTGCTCCAATCTACTCCTTCATCTAAAGTTTTCTCCAGTTCAGGGAGAAAGATGGTAAGTGAACATCTTGCTTGGGTTAGTCATTAATAACCAAAGAGAAAAAATTGCTCTTGCAGTCTCCTTTTAATGCACATCTGTGACACACATGCAGGCAAGAAACAGGTTATTGCAGTGAGATGCAGGTGTTTGTGGCATAAGCCCTTCCAGCTGTTTCTAGGGAGTAGCCCTTCAGATCCCAGGGAACAGAGTCCTTGTTTTGTGAGACAGTAGAGAACTATTACCCAGATCACGCCAGAAAGCATGTCTGAACCATAAGATGTACATCAAAAGTGTAGTGACACCAAACCTGACATTTCAGAAAAACAAATTGTCCTTCTTTTCTGGAAACTTTCCAGTACCTTGACTGCTGAGCTCTTCTGAGGAGTGCAATGTATTTTATTGTCACTAAGAGGAGCTGTCTGTGAGGTTGCATTAGTTCACTGGATTTCTAAAATATCTAGAACTGTTGTGCAACTGTGTCTTGTCGTCCCATCCCTCCCAAATTCCTGCAATATTTGATAGATGTTTTATCTAACTATCGCAGTGGGTTTCTCTTGCCTTACTATGCAATTGCTGCTTAAGCTTTTACTGAACGTGTCCTTGCAGCTCTATAGAGTACCACACAGAAGCACTGCATTTTTCATTTTTTAACATGAGATAAAATGTGTCTAACATGATAAAATACAAGGGATGTGGAAATTCCATTCAATAACTTTTATTATTTATATTATAGCAGTGACTAGGTCTTTCAACCAGATCAGCATAAAGAGGAGTCTAGTGCATATTTACAGTGAAAACTTTTTTTTTAAAGGACTGGTGTTTCTGGATTAAGGGCTATAATACACTTGTCTGCTACCAAAAGAATTATCTGCATTTGAAAAACAAAGACCACATTTTTAGCAAACATTCTATAAAGGTAGGATAAGTACCTCAGTACTTGTAACACTTGGGAAGAAAGCTGTAGGTTGCTCTTCCCAAATGATGATGGTCAACTCTTGCTCTCTCCCAAGTATGACATTTATTTTTTTAGAATACACATTTTCCTGTATGTTTGGGTTTTTTTTAAAAATGATTGTGTTCTGCATTCAGAAAGGGCTGGTTTCATTATTATTGGATGTGAAGTACAAGGGATGTCATTCACGGTTCTTCATGCCTTTTTGTCTAAAGCAAATTAAATTGTTATTAAATTGTTAAATATTTGTCAATTATTTGTCAATAACAATTGTAATTGTTACTAAATTGTTATCTGTATTTATCTGGGGAAATGAGGTAACAGAGTGTTTGTTCAGCAGGCTATGCTTATTGTCTTGGTACAACATGGCTGGTTTTCATTAGATGAAGAAAACTTAATTCTGCATTTTTGTCAAGACAAGATAACTGCCCCTTGACTAACACCCCAAATATATTCCTTATAACCAGAGACGTTTTTTTTGGTGGTGGGGGGAAAGAGTTGTCGTTTGGGTTTTTTTTTCCTCAGAAATAAAAATCTTAATTCAGGTGTGAGAAGCAAGGGACATGTGATAGATAGGGAATGTGGATGAGGTGAAAGATGGAGCTAAAAACTGACATAAACACCACACCCAGCACCTTCCAATTAGCTATGCACAACTGGTAAGTACTGGCAGACTTCTTTTTTTTCCTTTTTAAATACATAAAGATCAGTGGCAGAAGTCTCAGGCTGCCACCGTGATGGCCTGCTGTTGTTGATGGATAGTGTACCGTAAATTGCCAAGATGCTGAGACTGGAGAGACACTTAGTGAGTTCTTACTTACAGACCTGCATACTGAAGAGACAGAGGTGTAAATGAAAGTACAGTTTAGGCTAGAAAGCTTACTTACAAATGAAATTTTGGACGAGACAAAGCAATAAAATGCTGTAGTTTCCATTTTTCTCTGTGTTTAAGGATTGATCTAAAAAGCCATGACTGTAAATTGGGAGGAGGCTTTCAGCAAACTTTGGACAGGAGTATTCCTGTATGCTTTTCTTCCATTTCTGTTTAGACCATATGATAAAGACAAACATACATCCCAAAAAACCTAGTCTATGTTTTTATAAAATGTGTGAGCTCCCTCAGTAAGGTTTTTGCCTTGAAAATATTGTTGTTTCTGATTTCACCATAGCAACGAATAACTAGGTATTTCTGGTGGTTTGTGAAAAATATCCTACTGTGGTTTGAAGGTGCAAGTCCTAATCTTTCTGGCTACCCCCTTTTTTTTCCTCCTAGTTTTAATTGCCTTTTTAAATGGATGTGAGAACTTGGCTAACATGTAAGTCACTTGTACATGGAAAAGGCAGCCTGCAAATACTGCTGCAGCATCTCCCAAGAGATGTGGGTCAGCCTAGTATATTAAATGGTGCTGGAGGGAAGTATCTGACTATGAAGACACATGAAATGGTCTGTGCCAGTGCAGCAAGGTGTTAAGTCTTAGGTATCTGTTAGCATGTGGCAGGCCAGAGGTAGTGGGTGGAGCTGCCTAGGAGTAAGTGACAACAATGATTTACCCATGTTTCTTGTTTGAAATCTTGTCTTGGCTTAACAAGACTTCTAACTGCAGTATTAAGAGGGTTTTTTTAATTTCAGATCAGGATAAAATTGTTTTTGTTCCAAGCCAAGACTGTAATCTCTAAAATACATTAAAACTGCTGCTAAGGAACAGTATGCATCTTCAAGGAGTTTGCCAAGTACTGTATTAGCAGAACCTGAGTTTCGAGGAAAAATAATTGATGGGCATAGTGCAAGTTCTGCTTTCCAGTCATCTTAATCATTGGCCAAAAGTAAGTATAGATATCCAGGACAATGTAACTGTGGGAACTGGATGGAAACAGGTGGGAATCTGAATGCTGTGCTTAACGGTTTAAGAAATCCTCCTGTGATAGACTTTGCTCATCATGGAAGGTGTAATTTGGCCCTGAATGCCTGTCTCCCATCTCTGAGACAGTTGTGCTAAACTGAGTGTTAGAACTAAGCATTAAGGCCTGTGGCACACTCTTCTTCTAATCCAGAGATCCAGCACCCCGAGGCTGCCTCTCCCTGTTAAATTGAGGAATCCAAACATAATCTTTGAATGAATGCAGTCAAAAATACTTATCTGTACTGCAGTACCGGACAGATTGGTAGTGTAACACTGAGGACCAGAGCACTCGGTTCTCATTTTCATCAGAAAAGTTCCTGCAATGAGTAGACGGGGCTGTCCCAGTAGTGCCAAGCAGTTAGGTAATTAAATTGCACCAGGCCTTGGTCACTGTTCCCTGTTGTCATTATCTGTATTGCCATGCTTGCAGCAGGTGCTGAAAAAGATAAGGGTAAAGTTTAATAAGGAAATAAGTAGGGATAAATTTTGCCTTGCTTTTCCCCAATAATATACTGGTTCAAGAACTCCCTGAGGGTACAGGAGTCCCAGGTTCAAGTGGCTCCTCTGTTAGATGGAAAGCTGAACTACTTTGCCTTTCTATTGGTAGGTAATTATCTGTTCTGTAGTTTTGAGAAAAATGTCACAAATCCTCAAACTGAACACTTGCTGTAGAATAGTCAGGTATTGTTCCCAGCAGTGGTGGTCAGCACAGCAGTTCTGTGTGCTTGCTATTTGTGGTTCTGAATCTAAGGCTACCTGTACTGATTCACAGGATAACTGGGAGCTGGTGTGGATGCTCTCTGTAGTGGGCTTTTGCTTCTGCCCATCTCTGTCTGATCTGCTTTTCAGTTGGATGTGTGGCCAGTTAAAGGGGCTGGGAGCAGGTCACCCACACCCCCCCAGCAAACTGCCACCCGCTCCCTAACCCTCAGGAAAAACGTGGGGAGCGGAGTGGGGGCCAGGCAACGCCGCGGGGCAGGGGCAGGGGCAGGGAGGGTGCCTGCGGGCAGGAGGACGCTGTGTTGCCCACTCTGGCGGGCGGGGAGGGCTCCCCAGGGCCCACCCCACCTCGGCGGCGAGAGCCCGGCACGGCGGAGAAGCCCCGTTCCTCAGGCCGCCGCGGCCCCCGGGCCCT